GCTACCTAGTAGAGCTGTGAGGTGGTCCCAGACAGTGTGCTCTGTGGTCAAGGGACCACAGGGGGACGGGGAAGGCATGGAACCCCAGGCCATGGACTTCCTGCTCTGCTTTTGCTCTGAGTGCTGTGCTGTGAAATGTCAGAGGCACTGCTTTGGCACTCAGGGCCCATCCTGCAGCTCCTGCTTGAATGCTCCCGGTGACTGAGAGCTCATTCCCTTGCCTCAAAGTCTTTTCATTTGGGAGCCATGAGTTCTTCATTTGAGAAAGTTGTCTCCTTGACTCAATGTGGCCCCACTCGCTCACTGGCCTGGAGCAGCCCAGGTGATGTTCTCCCTGGAGAGACTGCAGCAGGAGTGCCTGGGTTTGCAACCAGGCTCTGCAGGTCCCAACTGTGCGGCGAGGCACAAGCTACTTGCCCTGGGCATCTGCGTTCTCTCGTCTCTCTGTTCTTAATAGAACTTGCTTGCGGGAATGTTGTGCAGATTAAACGTGTTAATAATATATGAAGCACTTAGAACGGGTCAATAAGTCTAGCCATCATTATTTTTATTATTTTTCCTGTAAATATTTTCTCTCCTGAAACCTATCTTTTTACCTCTCAAGTGTCCATACAGGCCATAGGGGCGCTCTTCATTGACAGCTCGTTGCAGAGGCAGGTCTTCTAGACCCTGGGGCATGAGGGGGAGACTAGAACAGATGTGCCACTCAAGGGAAGTGGCAGGTCCAGCATGGGCCCGGGGATCCAGGCATGGGCATGTGTCCTCACCACCTTGCTGCCCAGCCTTAGCACCCATGAAAGACCAGGAGGATAGGTTCACACTTGCCAGGGTTGTCATGAGAACCCAAGCACGTGTGTGCTGGCTGGTGTGGCTCACCATGGCATTTAAATACCCCCTGCATCCAGAGTATAATGGACCAGGCGAGAAAATAATAATAATGAACAGCCATATACCAGAGACATTTTGTGGGGGGGGGAAGTGCACAGATCTATGGTGATGGCACATGGGTGACTTGGTGATGGGAAACCAGCGGGGGTTACAATTGAGATGAAAAAAATGTACAAAATGATGTAAAAATAAACTGTTATAAATAAATAAATCAATAAATACTCCCTGCATCCTCCATGTCTAGGAGCCCCTGTTGAACAGAAGTCCATGTGAGCGCCCAGTCTGTAGATATTTACTGGGGCAGGCTTATCAGATAAGCTTCAGGATGGATCTCATTGTAATGAAATGGCTGTAGGGCCCAGTCTGGGAGGCACATGAGCATAATTTCAGCAGTGCAACCCCTTGGCCCACCCTGAGGATTGCTGTCGGGAGATGATGAAGTCTACAGTTTGCACTATGGTGGGAAGCGGTTAAGAAGCTTTTGCAGGCACAGGCAGAAGTTAGTACCTTTTGACTCTAGGTGGCTGTGTGTAATCATGGAAACGTCAATGAAACCATCACAGACTCACCCAACAGTTGCCTCATGATCTTTGTAGTCAGTTCCCCCGCATATCCACAGATGCCACTTCTTGCCACAGTACTGTCCTACTGTCTGTAGCCACAGGGCAGCCCACAACATCTTCCCTGAAGTATTCTTGAAAGGTGTTTACAAGCCCTAAGTTTTATACCTTAGGCAAAAAAAGCTCAGAGAGGTAGAGTAATTTTCCCAAGTCACACAGCATTGAGTTAGAGTGAGAACCAGAGGCCCTCTTGATATTAGTGCATAAGCCCCTTGTATATCTCTTAGTCTGCGCTATGCTGGAAGGGGTGTCTGGACCTGGTTGTTCGCTGTCATTCTGCACAGTGCCCATCCAAACGGACCAAGTGTCCCATGTCAATTGGCAGCAGAATTGCAGAGCCAGATCCCAGCCTCTGCATGTCTCAAGACTTCTTTCACACTGCCTCTCCCCCTTCCTCTTCACACCATGCTGCAGGACCCTCAGAGTCAGCAAGCCCAGGACTACTAACTTCCTCCATTCCTGGGGACTGAGGATTGCTGTCGGGAGACGATGAAGTCTACAGTTTGCACTATGGTGGGAAGGGGTTGAGAAGCTTTTGCAGGCACAGGCAGAAGTTAGTACCTTTTGAAAATGTGTCTCTGGTCAGGTTATTAATTCAGAAGACCTAATTCCTTCTCAGCTCTATCTGCAGCTGTGGCAACCAAGGTCTACATGGAGTCTAACTTGGGGAAATGGAGGAGGAGAGAGATCAACTTAGAAGCTACTTCGCTGGTCATAACCTTTAGTAGAGCTCATAACCTCACTGGGAGACTTTCTGGAAATGGTGTGGATTTGTCTGCATGAGTTCATGCAGGATTCTGATCATTTGTAGAGACTTTTTTTCTTTCTTCTATGTGAGTAGCCATGAGAAAAATAGCCAGCAAGTGAAGTAAGCTATAGCATGACTAATGAGGGAGAGAGGAAGATAACACTTAGGGACTTTCAATTCTGGTCCTTTCTTCTCAGCCCTCTTCATTCTGCCATCACTCTGGATAAAGGGAGCCAGAGTTCTGTTCTCTTCGTCTATTGGAAGCAGACAAAAGCTTTCAGAGGTTCATCAGATTCTGCTCATCAGAAGGCACTTTGTGGCTTCTGTCTCCCAGTGAGTAAAAGCTTTGTTCAAATGGCCCTATCTGTTTCTCAGTGAGCCTGGCTACATCACTGCTGGTTTTGATGTATTTTTATCAAAAACTGCGTATCAACCGGAGAAGATATTTTTCATCCTCAGTTTATAACCATTTTTCATCTCATCCCTCAGATTAACTAGAACTAATGTACCAAGATTGAATAGAACTAATGTTTTAAGAAATGTCTTTTTTAAGGGCGTCTTTCATTAAACATCTTTTAGGGAAAAAATGTGTGCTTACCTTATTCTGATTTCCTGTTTAACACCAATTAGCTCCACATTTTAAGATTTTTCAACTCATGAGTCCACAGAGTCACCAGGTATTCAGAACTCTGCTACTATTAGTAGATACTTGTATTTTCAAAATACTTATATTTTCCCTGGCTTTTGGGTTTCTTGGTGAAGGAACTCATAAAGAGTTCCTTCTCAGAAAGGTCTGAGAATGTGGAGCTCCACTGAAGTCCCCAAATGGATGCCCTTGAGCACCCATGCACACATTACTGATCATATGTAGTTGTCTAACTCTGCATGTGATTTTTTTTAAGATTTATTTATTTGTGCATACAGAACTGGGGTACAGGCCAGAGGCTCAGGGGCAGTGAGAGGCTTCACCAGAGACAGAGTGGGGAACAGATCAGGCAGATCAAAGAAGCACACTGCTGAGGGGAGCAGCGGGCGGGTCAGGAGAGGTCTGCTACACCATGTGGTCACCTCCGGGGCAGGCGGGAATCGAACTCATGCGGAAGCAGCTTTAGGTTCTCAGTGCTGTGCTTTAACCTGCTGCGCCACCAGGGAGGGCCACTCTGCATGTGATTTTATGCTTTGCTTAGAAGCCACCTCCTCCATGTAGTCTTCTTTGCTCTGAAATCTCATCACGTGCCAGCACACTGTCTGTCTTATGATGTACTTCTTTGTATTTCTTCCCCAACTAGATTATCAACTGCTTGAGAACTTACAGATTTTGTGTTTTATCCTCACAGTTCCTCTTAGTGGCACCTTCTGCCCCCATCCCTTCCTCACTGCCCTGTGCCTCCAGAATGCCATACAGGGATTCTCACAAAGCATAAGCTCATTTGTGGGTTGAAGTAAAAATCATATTTTTTCACTACCTCTTACGCACCTTTACTTTCTGCCAAGATTACAGTTATTTGTATGCACATTTGATTTTTCCTAATAGGTCAGAAGTTGGCAGAATTTTCCATAAGGGCCAGATAGAGAATGTGGTAGGCTTTATTGGCATATAATCCCTGTTACAGCTCAAAAGCAATCACAGACAGTAGGCAAACAAAGAGGGTGTACCTGGATTTCAATACATTATTTACAAAAAGAGATAGTTCGCTCTTACGTTGCTGATCCCTAAACTAGATCATGGGCTTCTCAAGAGGCAGGTTTGTGTTTCATTTATCTTGTGTCTAGCAGTATGCCTTTTATGGAGTCCATGTCTGTGAAGTGTTTGGGGTTATTAAATGAAACAGCAGCTGAAGTTTGATCTTCACACAATACAGACCTAAGGATAGCACTTCTACTCCTCAGTACATACCCAACAGAAACGGCTACACATTGCCAAAGGCTATGCTGTCAATAGCATCCCAATCTGCAGTGACTACATAGTGGAAAATACCCCAAGGTGCATCCACAGAAGAATGGCTAAATAAGTTGCACTATATTCACACAGTGAAATATTATGCAGCAATGAAAATGAATGTTTTGTATGTAAACTTATAGCTAACTCTGAAAACATATATTAACCTGAGAGGAAGAAGCTAGACCCAGAAGACTACATACTATATGGCCCTATTTATAACAAGTATGGAGGTGGGAGTTAAACAATTCCATGTTGGTACAGTGAAGAGAATGCTTTCCTTTGGAGGGGTAGCTGGAAGGACTTCTGAGGGGGGCTTTTTAGGGCATTTGGGTAATGCTGTTTCTTGATCAGGATACTAGATACATGGGCACATGAGCTGTACATTTACAATTTATCTGATTTTCTATTCAACTCTAAGAATAAGCCATTTCATTTTATTTTTAAAAAAGGTAAAACACGGGATTATGGTGATGGCACACAGGTGATTTGGTGATGGGAAACCCGTGGGGATTACAATTGAGATAGGAAAAAAAGGTACAAAATGATGTAAAAATAAACTTTTGTTTAAAAAAAAGGTAAAACAAATGAACCAAAAAACCAAAAAGTAAAGTAGTTTGTCCAAACACGATAAAGAGAACACTGTCAGCACTTCTAATTCCCTGGCTTTTCAACTGCTGCCGATACTGACTCCAGCTCCAGAGTAGAGAAGCCCGGGCTCTTTCCTTCAGCTTTCACTCATAGAACATGATGCAAAGAATGGAAGCCGGGCTGTGCATAAACCAGTGCTTCCTTGTCTCCACAGAACATCGTTGCCGTGGGAGCTGGGTTCAGCGACGGCCTTTGCTGTGGAGACAACACCAAGGCTGCCGTCATCCGCCTGGGGCTCATGGAAATGATCGCCTTTGCCAAGATCTTCTGCAAGGGCCAGGTGTCCACAGCCACCTTCTTGGAGAGCTGCGGCGTCGCTGACCTGATCACCACCTGCTACGGAGGCCGGAACCGCAGGGTGGCCGAGGCCTTTGCCAAAACTGGGAAGGTAGTGACTGGCCCTCTCTGCCCACACCCCTCCTTGCTCACTGGGCCCTCTTGGGCTGGCAGAGCAGCAGCCTGCCAGAGATGGAAGCTGACACTGATTGTTTGCTGGGGGTGTCCTGTTTACCACTCTGCTTTCACTTAAGTCTTGCGTGCTTCACCTAGTGTGTCTTTGTCTTTCCTTGGCTCCCAGCGGGAGTGCTGTCCTCCTCCCACAAGCTTCTCTTGAAATAAAGTGATTCTCTAATCTTTACCACAGATTTCTTTTTCATCCTTTATTTTTAAGACCATTGAAGAGCTGGAAAAGGAGATGCTGAATGGACAGAAGCTTCAAGGACCTCAGACCTCCGCTGAAGTGTACCGCATCCTCAAACAGAAGGGGCTGGTTGACAAGTAAGCCGCTCGTTGGCCCGGGCCCCCAGAGGAATGGCCTTCATCCTGCCACTCCTGACCCCAGCCCACAGCACAGAGCTTTCCTGGTTTAGTTCTGTTCTTGTGTGATGGCAACATCTATGGTAGGAAACATATGCTGACCCTGAACATGAGTATTTGCACAAAACCAGGCTTTGTTCTCTAAGACCTGTTACATAAGAGGAATTTTGAGTTTCAGGTTTGTCCTGCCCGGTGTTTGGTAAGAGCTACATGGGGTATGTTTTAAATTTTTAAAACATGATTACTTTGTTGTTTTTATAAAAGACATAGTCTTGTTGATAAAATATCAAACAGCTTAGCAAGAGAAGGATGTTACCACAGACTTCTACCACTAGAAGTGATTTGTGTTATGGCTCAGCGAGCTGCCTGGTAGTCTGCTATGGGGATGGATGGGTGGGTGCGTGCATGGGTGGATGGCTGCATGCCTGCATCCAGCCTCTGCTGCCCTTCCAGGCTGGTCATGCGTTAAAGGTGGCTTGGGAAAGCTTGATGTGCCCCTTCGTCAAGGGAGGCAGCCTCGCAGCACCATAAGAGCTGTCCATCCTCTCTGAAGCTGCTCCCCTCCTCTCCCTGCCCCACAGTCCTCACCTTGCTGATTTGCTAAGTCTTCTGCCAGAGATATTCTGTGTATCCTTAACTGTCCGGTAATACGTGGGGAAAGCAGCAGATGGGCAGCTGTACTCATGCTGCTGGTGCAGCTGATCTGGAGTGTGCTCTTCTCTCCAAGACAGAGGTCTGCCAGCCCCCACCCCTTCACCCTTCATCAGGGCAGGGGTCTGCTGGGCCCCACCGTGCAACTTTACCTCCCCCACGCAGAGCACTCTCTTTTCCTCCCACACCTCTGTCAGCCATAGAGGTCCCTATTGAAGTCATAAATGAGAGCAGACAGAGCATTGTCTTTCCTCTGTGATTTGCACTTTGTTTTTCTGAAATGTCTTTTAAAGCTGGCCAGGCAGAGATGGAAGTCATAAACAAGCCTGCAAAGGAGGAGAGTTACCTTCTAAGAAGTGATTAAAAGGGAAACACCTCTCACATGCATGGTTTTCCTTTCCTACCTAATATCAGACAGTGATATGCTTGAGCTACTTTAATGACCGTTAAGATTTATCAGGAATTTTTTTTAAGTCTTCAATAAATACCTCAGTGTTTGTTGAGGGTGAGGTATCTGTGTGCACTCAAGGGCCCCTCTGACAGGATTCTGCAGGTTGACACGCTGACCGGGCGTCAGTCTATATTCATTGTCTAACTCCAAGTGGATGCAGGCTGGAACTGGGATTCTGGGATCAGTACCCACCTGCTTTAAAAAGCTGGGGTACCGAAAATTATATAATGCTCTAATGTAATGTTACCTCTATTTTTAAAAATAATTGAAATAATTAAAAGCAGCTTTAATCAAGCAGATGAAACGTGACTCTGAGCAGATGCCTCCCTCAGTCATGTCCTATTTTCTTTATTCTGATTGGAAATTGAACAGACTTTGCCTGCATTTGATGAGGTCACTGCTGGACAAGGAGGGGGCACCACCCACCCTTCACCTCACTGGAGTGTGGCATCCTGGGGGAAGGTCCCTTCACTGCACCTGCCTCCCCAAACTTGCTGGAGCTCTGCCATCCACCCTCCAACCACTTCTTACAAGACCTCTTTTCTTTTTTCACTGCAGCCATCACTACTATGGTCTTGATTTCCTCCTCCCTTCTCCATAGCTATAAAAGAACAGTGAGAGGAGGGCAGCAGTCACAGCCAGGTGTCCTTGGACAGGTCGTGTTTTTAGATGTGCTGTGCGCCTATTTACACCAGAATCAAGCCAGATGACCAGATAGCTGCTATGGTCCCACCTCCGCGAGTGGGTTGATTTCGAGGCCCCTTGTTCTTACAGAGTGGGGTCCACAGTCCCTAAGGTGGAGGCAGTCCCTGCTAGTGTCCTGCCACCTCCCTTTTTATCACTGTGTCCTCTCACCTACCACCCCCTTCTTTAGTCAAAACAGCCTTCCCTTGGCCAGACACCTCCTGACCAACTCCTGTGTGTAAGTTCGGCTGCTGCTTGGTCTGTCTGGACGCCCCTTTCGATGTACCCATCAGCCTCCTCAGCCTGAGGGCAGCACACATCTGTTCCAGAGACACCTTCTTCCACATCCTCCGGTCACCCATCACTCTCCCTGTTTGGAACTTACTGTGTACACCAGTGATCAGCAAACTTTTTCTGTAAAGAACCAGATGGTAGAGTCTACAAAGGCCACATGCAGGCTTTTGTCATAAACACTTTCACTTTTTTTTTCAGGCCCTTTGAAAAATATAAAAAGGCACCGGCCAGATTTGGTTCTTAAGCTGTGATTTATCACACCTTAGTTTAGGCAAGCATGGCTGCTTGTGTGCTAAGGACTTGCTCCATAAACATACATTTTTGCATTTTTCTTTAAATGTGGAAGGGGAGAACATACTCTGGATAAGAAAAAATAAATTCAAATAATACAAAACGAAAAAGAGAAAAGTGAGTGTTAACCCCCATCCTAGACATAGACAGCTTCCTCAGTTTTTAGTTTACCTTTCTAGTTCCCATTTTCACTTAGGTAGTAGTAACTTACATATCCCATGTTCTGCTCTATCTGGTGATATTCTTCACCTTGGGAAATGTTTTGAAGGTCATTCCATGCCTGCACTTCATTTTTTAAAGATTTATTTATTTATGCACACAGAACTGGGGTACAGGCCAGAGGTGCAGGGGCAGTGAGAGGCCTCCCCAGAGACAAAGTGGGGAACAGAACAGGCAGATCAACGAAGTACAGAGGGCAGGTCAGGAGAGGTCTGCCACGGCATGTGGGTCACCTCGGAGGCAGGAATGGAACTCGTGCTGAAGTGGCTTTAGCTTCTTAGTGCTGTGCTTTAACCCGCTGAGCCACCAGGGAGGGCCTCTTTTTTTTTTTTTTTTAAGATTTATTTGTTTGTGCATACAGAACTGGGGTACAGATCAGAGGCTCAGGGGCGACGAGAGGCTTCACCAGAGATAGAGTGGGGAGCAGAAGAGGCAGATCGACGAAGTACACTGCTGAGGGGAGCAGCGGGCGGGTCAGGAGAGGTCTGCTGCGCCATGTGGTCACCTCCGGGGCAGGCGGGGATCGAACTCATGCGGAAGTAGCCTCAGCTTCCCAGTGCAGTGCTTTAACCCGCTGCGCCACCAGGGAGGGCCTTTTTTTTTTTTTTTTGATATACAACTGACATATAACATGTTAGTTTCAGGTACAACATAATTTGGCATTTGTATATAGTGCAAAATGATCATCACAGTGTCTAACATCTGTCACCACACATTTTTATTCTTTTCTTCTGATGAGAACTTTTAAGATCTACTCTCTTAGCAACTTTAAAAAGCACTGACTCTACTGACAACATTGACAATTGGCTCCATGCTGACTACAGCATCCCCAGGACCTTCTCATCTTACAGCTGGAAGCTCATATATTTCCACCACCGCATCCATTTAACCCACCCCCCTCACCCTGCCTCTGGCAACCACCAGTCTGTTCTGTATCTGTGAATTAGGTTTTGTTTCTGTATTTTTAGATTCTACATGTAAGTAAGTGGCTACAGAACATTTCTGTTACTTAATATTCAGTTCATTTAAGCAGTCTCTCTTGATAGATATTAAAGTTGCATGGGTTTTTCTGCTGACATAAGCTTTTCTTTATTAAATTTCCTTGTATATGCATCTTTGTGAGCAGATGCAAGTATAATGTATCTGTATTAGTTTGCTAGGGCTGCCATAGCAAATACCATACACTTAGTAGTTTATACAACAGAAATTTATTTCTCAGTATTCAAGAATTCTAGAGCAAGCTGTTGGATTGATTTTGGAGGTTTTTCTTTCTGGCTGTAATGGCAGCCAACCACCTGTGCCACTCTGGCTTAGGGCCTACCTTAAAGGACATTTTTACTTACTTACCTCCTTACCAGACACAGTATTAGGGTTAGGACTTCATTGGATGAGTTGGGGAAGGTAGGCATATTTCAGCATGCAGGAATTTTGTAAATTCCATGAGAGTTGGGGCTTTATTTATAATACTGCTTATCCCTGTACCTGATTGAAGCCTGAAGGACCTCCAAGTCCATTAGTGGGGTGATTAAATGGCCAATGTCATTATTTTTCTATGAAATATTATCTTTTGTCTTGCTTTCCCCTCTAGCCTTATTTAGAAGAATTCCCAAAATTGACCTAATTGACCAAATAGCATTTAACATCACAGAACAGCATGAGGGTGAGCAGGACAGCCTTGTAGTTGAGTGTTGGTTCCAGAATAAGAAACTATGTCCCGCTTTTCTCCATAACTTTTGTTAACATCCCCTCTACAGGAACACAGTGGAAGTGCTAGTTGTGAAAGTTACAAGTTCTTTTAGCTGCAAGAGCAATGTCCAGTTAAAACAGCCTTAAGCCCTCTCCTCCCATCTCAGTTGCCAGTTTGTAGCTGTCTTTATAAGCTGTCAGTTATTACATACCTACCGTGTGCCAAGGCTTGTACTGTATACTTTACATGTAAGTCATTTAATAACCAGATCTAAGTGCTCAGCCCCATTTCACAGATCAGCAAAGTTGAACTTGCCCAAAGTTAAATGGCTGTGGAGTCAGATTTGAGTAAGTGTACTTGACTCCAAAAAAATAGCCAAACATTTCATATCATAAAACAACAATGATAGACTCTCAAAGATGAGCCTTTTCAGGGATCCTTGCTCTTATTAAATTAACTTTCACTGTAGGATTCTAGCTACATAATTTTCAGAATGCCTTTAAGTCTATTGATTCTGTCAAGCTCATTTGGACTGTGTGTGTGTGTGTGTGTGTGTGTGTTTAAAAGTCTGATTGTAATTAACTTAGCTATTTCCTTAGTGATATCTGCCATTAAAAAAAAAAAAAGACAAAACAACAAAAACCCACTTGCTGAACCAGCTATATTCCAAGATAATGTTATCTTTTCCAAGATAATGTTATCTTTTCATACACTAGTATATTACCCACATCTTCACACCCTCATCCATTTCAACTTCTATTTACGCTGTGTTCTCATGTGGGAACATAAGGCAAAATAAATCGCACTTCCAACCTGAGAACAATTTTATGCTAATTGTGAAATCCACCCATTGATTCTTTTTCTTTTATGGAGGTAGCATTGGTTTACAATGCTGTATATGATTTAGAGGTGTAAGTTCACAACTCTTCAGTTGTATGTTACCACACTACACTCACCACCAAAACACCTGTAGTTCACATTCTGTCCCCTACTCCTGTGGGTGTCTCAATTCTACAATTAACCTTCTAGGGCTTGTTACTGGTTTAGTTCTGACTGACCTTTTGTTCTTCTAGATTGCACATACAAGTGAAAGAAATCATGCGGTATTTGTCTTTCTTTTTCTGACTTATTGCATTTAGCATAATCCCTCCTGGTTAGATTCCTATTGTTGAAAACAGCAAGAGTTCATCATTTTAATAGCTGAGTATGATTCCATTATGTATTAATAACACATCTTCCTAACTCACTCATCTTTCCTTGGGCACTTGGGCTGTTTCTATACTTAGGCTTTTGTAAATTGTGCTGCAGTAAACACACGGGTGCATGCATCCATTCAGATTTGTGTTTTTGCATTCTTTGGGTAGATACCTACAGGAATTTCGCACATGTTGATTCTTGAGGGGGCTTTCCAGGCCTAAATTATTTATGGTGATGTATGGGCTGTTTATCCTTCTCCTTTGATGATCCCTTTTTAGAGAAGGGAGAGCAATATCTCCTTGCAATGTAAAATGTATTTTCAGTCTTTTAAATTGTAACTTAAACTTGAACTCATTCTAGACTTGATTGAGAGCCTAAGCCACCTACCCTGTAGGATTACCATGTGACCTGGAGTAGACCATGCACTGCCATAGACAAAGGGTGGCTCAGAATATAGCTAGATCTTGTAACAACCAGGTGGAGTCTCTGTACAGAACAAGTACTAAAGGAACATAGAAGGGGTCATTTTGTTTTTGAAAAGTAGCCAGTAACCTGAAATTTTGGGAGCAAGACAGAAAACTTTTCCCTGCCCCTTCACCCATTAGGTAAACCAGATGGCTTAACCTATATTTTCACCTTTTTCCCCCAACCAGGTTTCCATTATTTACTGCAGTCTACCAGATTTGCTATGAAGGCAAACCTGTTCAAGAGATGTTGTCTTGTCTCCAGAGCCACCCAGAGCATATATAAAGTGAATCGTGCAACAAGCCGGGGAATGTTCTACCTTTCTGATCAGTCTTTTGGGTTCAAATGGAAACTGGACTTGACAACAAGATTTGCTTGACTGTAATCCCAGCATGGATATATATGAATTTTTACAGGTTTGTTTTTTAATTTCAAGAAGCAGTTTATTGACCAAGACATAATGGGTAACAGCTAGTTACACATATATGAAAGTGTGAGTGTGTGTTCGTTTCTCATTCTGTGGATATTTCTATGAACCAAAATTAAAAGTTCTTTTAAAAAATTACCTTTGAAATTTGCCCACAGTGGTAGTTTATGAGATTGGAACTATCTTAGCCAAATTTTCAAAATCTAATTTATATGTGTTTGAGTGTGAAATTGTATTTTTTCTTTCTTTTGATGTTAAAGTTAAACCAGCATAAAGATGGTAGAGTGGAGGACTGAGTGTGTTCTAAGATCAACATACTGTAACTTCTAAACACTATCTCTAAACCAGCATAGCTAACTACTTGGATTGTGGGCTGATCATTTTTTTTAAACAACTAGATGTTTTTAATTAGACAATCCATTTATGCATCTTCTTCTCACTGCAGTTTCTGCATTTTAGCCTCCTTTCTCTTCATTAACTGCCAGACTCTCCTGTCCTAAAGGCTCAGCAATGGCCAAAGATGGAAAACTCATCTGGGATTTTCCTGCTAGGACTGACATTCTTCTAATTACCACACTGGATGCTTTTTGTTAGGTAGTACTTTTGTGCAAACATTTCCTTTTAGCCTCACAGATGCCCTGAGCGAAGGCTGCTATTACTGCACATTTAAGTTGCAGTCACTGTGTCTGGTCCACTGGCAAGTGGGGACAGAGCCAGAAGCCCATCTAAGTGTTCCTGCTCCCCATACAAGGTACCAGAGTGCCTAAGCTCTGGTTGTGACCAACGCCATGTGCCAGGAGGGGCTGTTTGCAGCTGAGATTTGTGTGGGTGGTTGTCTAGACGAATGTCACTCTAAGTGTGATCTTCAGTCCAGCAACATCAACTTCATCTGGAGTCTATTAAAATACAGGTTGCCAGGTGCCACCCCATCTCTTTGAAGTGGAATAAAGTACCTGTGTCTTCAGTTGCCTTCTGTGATTTTCTGGCCCTCACTACAATTTGAGAACCACTACTTTAGAAATTTTGCTTTAGAATAGCATTTCTCAAACTGTGTTCCTTAGGAAATCGAGGTTCTGAGTGTTCCCTGAGGGAAGTGAGTTTGGGAACAGCTGTGTCACACACCCATCTTGACTGTAGAATGTACATTAGTGTGCCAGTGGAACCTGTTTTACCCAGAAAGTTCCAAACACATTTGATTATAGTAACTTTTTTGGCAAGAAAACTTGCTAAAGTTTCCAGGGAACACTGTTCTAGGTAGCGGAGGCCTCAGGACAACTCCCTGCAAGACACTAGTGAGAATAAACTACCTGTGGTGTTAGCTCTGAACGTTTACAGTTCTGGTCTGCCATGAATCTTTGATGAAGCTTTAAGGTGACATTAAGTACAATCAAGTAGGTGTCAACCTTGCTGAAACGCACATTATGTCCAATAAGTGCTTTTAATTCTGGAATTAGAATGGAAATTACTGTACCTTCCTTCTTAAATGAGATTGGCTTCAGGATAGCTTTGCCATTACCTTCCACAGCATTTGATAAGTGTTAGGGAATGGATGAGTATCACTTATATATTCATGAATTTTCAGTTACTTTGTGAAATTTTGACCTTTCTACTTTCCATATTGGGGTGTTTTCCATCTACACCTGAAGTAACTGTAGAACAGTTTTTTGTAGAAATTAAAAAAAAAACACTATCCAGAACATTTCAGGGGCATTTTAAAGCTCATTACATAGAAAGAGATAAAAGCACATAAAATGCTACAAATTTCATTGATTTTAGTACCACTGTTAAGTCAATCGATTTTTGCTTGTGTCATGATTCATCTTTTTAAAAGTTTGTATATAGGTAACAAAGTGTTACTTTTTAAGATATTAAAGGGCTGTAAGCTAATTGTGGTCTCCTATTAAATAGGCTACTGAGATACGAACTAGGAGCTTGTGTCTCTGTATTTTCATCTGCATTCTGCTTCATACTCTGGGTTTTGTACTTGAGGGTTTTTGCCTTGGCAAATACTCGCTTACCATACTGAAGTCTGCTATACCTCTTGAACCTACTTATAATTTTCTGCACAATATGGAAAAAGGCAAATTTTATAAGTTTGTGCTCTGCTGTAGATGTTTATTGCTGTATGAGTTAACTGTTTTTATAACCCATCACTTGTTTTCATTCATGTGTCTTAACTAATTATGGGTACAGGAAGGGAGAAAGCTAGAAGAGAAGCTTAATTTGTACTAGTTCAGTCAATCTGTGAATGTAAAACTACACTGTTGCCTTGCTATAATCCACCGTACTATAATATGGAATAAGTATCAGGCTGAAATCCATCCTAGAAGTGGAGTTAAACTTATAAACTCATTCTGGTTTTTCATTTCACTCTTAACATGCCCCTGTGGCATTGACCTACCAGTGGTGAGATGCCCATGTACAAAGGGATCTTTAGTTTCCCCACTAATTATAATCTAAGAGCCTTTTACTTACATGTGTACTATACTTGTTTATAGACTTTAAATGGAAATAATTTAAAAGCTTGATTTAATAAACATTTATTTCCCCCAACCTGTGCTACTGATTCTTTTTCCCCCATAATCAGCTTAGTTAATAGTTTTATTTATTTATATTAAAAAGGTCCACTCCCTTTTCCCCTGAATCATGTTGTATTAAGAATAATAAAAAGTTATTAAAATAAGGACTTATTCTTTAATCATGTACTTTAAATGGGTCTGTATTCATTTGTCTGTGTTCCTTTTCATTATTTACTGCTATTTTTATATAACCGTAATTGTTGGATGGAAATCTTTTAGTTCCAACTATCAGTGGACTGACTAATGAACTTGAAATCTCCTTTCCCCACCCCTAGAAAATCCAAGAAAATAGAACCACTGTCCTTTTATATACAAGGCTGATGTCATAAAAATTTGAGGGAGGGTCCTGCCTGGTGGCGCAGTGGGTTGAAGCACAGCACTAAGAAGCTAAAGCCAATTCCGCATGAGTTCAATCCCCGCCTGCCCCAGAGGTGACCACATGGCGTGGCAGACCTCTCCTGACCCGCCCGCTGCTCCCCTCAGCAGTAGTCAGTTGGCCTATTCTGCTCCCCACTCTGTTTCTCACCACCCCTGCATCTCTGGCCTCATACCCCATTTCTGTATGTATAAATAAATAAATCTTTTTTTTAAAAAATGTGAGGGAAATCTCCACGAGCCTGAAATAAATAGGGGCTGACAATCAGAATAAGGCTGTGAGGCAGGTTGTGCCATGGCCACCAGGGAAAGGGGAGGAATCCCTCCAGGATCTAAAGGTTTGGTTGTAAAGCTTCATACCTAGAACTAGACCCCCCTAAGGGCTGCGCTGTGGGGGAGAGGAAAGGGACTAAGGAAGTCCAGGTATAGGCACAAAGAAACTGGACTCCAGGTGAAAAAAATCTCTCAGCTGAAAATTTGTAATTAGGAGGCAAGCAATATTAACAGGTTTGGGGTTTGAATTTTTATAGCCATGAAACCACTAGCAAAGCATTATAAAAATTACAATGTGCTAGTGATGCCAGTGGATAATAGGTAGAAATAAGCACAAGGATACTGCAGAAATCCACTCTAGATCCAGACTAACCAGTCTTCCCATAATTAAAACTTCACTGAAAAATGCACTTTAAAAAGTGTAAAAATTTACAAAAGAATTTGTTGAGAAAATTTTAAGTAGAAGAATTTGATGTTCAAGACTTCAAACAATTAATTGAGCACTGACAGATGGTTTTGCAGATTACTTTTTAAAACAAAGACATGATAGGAGAACTAAAACATTAAGGACAAAATAATAGGAAAAAATCCAATATATATTAGAACATCTGGAAATACAAATCAACTCACTGGACAAAGAGTGGATGTGACAGAGCTGTAAATAAAATTAGCAAACTAGAGAATAAATATGTAGATATGAATAGATTAGCAAGAAAATATTGGAGAATTTAAGTGGTAATTAGAGGATAGGGTAAGAAAATTCAACATACATCTGGTAGGAATTCTGAACAGCGAAGAGTGTCAGATTTTGAAAAATAAAAGCTGAAATTTGTTCAGAATTAAGTGTATGCAATCAACTGTTATTTTTCATAATATGGTTCTATTAAAATTTGATCCCACGGTCTCAACTGTATATAAACTAAGTAAATGGTGAATGTTTGAGGACTTTTTAAGAAAGTAAGTTATATAAGGAGTCATAATTTACTGAAGGTATGATTAAAGTTATTGAACCTTTGCTTTGTAGAGCTGAAGTTTCTGTCTCCACCCAATTTCCGAGACTAGGTCAATACCTACTTAAGATATTCATAATAGGGAACTTTTAGCACTATCCTACTCTTATATTTATCTAATCAAATTTATCATCCCCATATTGAGATGATGAAACTAAAGCACAAAGAACCTAAGAATGTTCAAGTCATAGAAAGTCAGGATTTGAACTCTCAGTCCAGCTCAAGAGTCAGTGCAGTTTAGGCTACATTAGGCTACATTACCTTTGAGTTATGGCTGATCACAATCAAGGGAAATCAAATAATGATTAGAAATGTCTACGATGCGATTATTCTTTCTGCAAGCTTGAATACATATATTAGATTTTCAGGCAATACATTTCTAGGGCCCTCCCTGTGGCACAATAGGTTAGGACGCAGCACTGCAAGCGATCCACAACCGCTTCAGTGTGAGTTCAATCCCCAGCCCCAGAGTGGCCCACATGGTGCGACAGACCTCTCCTGACCCGCCCGCTGCTCCCCTCACCCGCCCGCTGCTCCCCTCAGCAGTGGATTTCAGTTGATCTGCCTGTTCTGCTCCCCACACTGTCTCTGATGAATCCTCTTACTGCCTCTGCACCTCTGACCTGTACTCCAGTTCTGTATGC